AGCTTTCTCTAAGCCTAAGCAGACAACATCATTGGTATATGTTATGTACAAAGCTAAATCGATGAACTTCCCTTCTATTTAAGCAACATTTACAAAAGCCTTCATAAACCAGTTTAGAGTCGGAGTCCTCCCACTGATTCCTAACTCCCAGGATTCCCTCTATTTGATAAAACAATGTTCTTATATTTTGCACGTTGGTCACAGAATAACCCTCAGATCAAACTAAAACTGTCTATTTGGGAAAGTTTGAGCTCTGACGGAGTCTTCTGTCACCGAAGGATGTGCTAATCTTCTTGTGTTACAATGATTTCGTTTTCTTAAAGGACTAAACCGAGTTCATAAAGTAGAAATAAAAGTCGCCCAACGTAACCAGTGTTTGGCAGCACATATTTATGAGTTTCAAATGCAGTGACAGTTACTTTCACAAGTGTATTTGTCTGAGAAAACAGACGATTTGACATGTGCCATTTTCCAAAAATGATTAAAAGCGTTAAAGTCATGGAGCTTGTGAGATGCAGCTCTTCTCTCATTTCACCAGAAATGAGCCTCTGAATGGATTTGAGACAAATTAGCACTTGGACCATGGAGATAAACTCTTTGATGTGGTATATTTACATTCCCTGTGGCTCTGAGGACTTTTTCTCTGCCATGATAACCAGTGTAAATGACACTCCCATTCATCCTGCTCACTCTGGGGAAGTCTGGATTTAAACACCATTGTGCTGCTCTGAAAGGAGGGAAGACTAGCTCGTGAGTTTCAGGAATTATTCTGTGACTTGGAGGAAAGACCTTTGTGTAACTGAGATGTTGTCAGGAGTTGATAAGCAACACATTTCCATCATCATCATCAATCTGCTCTCAGAACTAATCCTCTTCAGAGCATGCAGTCATAAAACTTTAGGACAAACCTTCTCTAGGCGCAGCAGGATCCCACGCAGACCACATCTGGACAAAGAAAAACGGAGTCCAGCACACAATGTAAGCCAGGACCACGACAAAAGTCATTTTCACTGTGCGGATCTTGGCTTTGGAGATGAGCCTGACGCTGCTCACGCGCGACAGTGGATGCGCGCCCTTGGACGGCCTCGGGGTGAGAGCCAAGAAGTGCTCCCTCCTGGTTTTCATGTTGATGTTCTGCCATATTTTGAAGCATATCAAGCCATAGCAGATGCTTAAAATCGCCACTGGGAGGATGTAGATGCTGAGGCTCATCCACGTGATGTAGGCTTTGGCGCCCCACGGCTCCACAAAGTCCCCCCAGCAGTCGTACACGCCGCTCCCCACCTCTCTGAGAGAGAAGATGTAGACCTGCGGGGTGCTGAAGAGCAGGCTGAGGATCCACGAGGTGATCACGCAGACACGATCCTTCCCCTTGTGCACGGAGCGCAGCGGCTGGCAGATGGCCAAGCACCTGTCCACGGACATCAGGACGAGCATGTAGGTGGACGCGAACATCCCCACCACCTGGAGGTACTTGACCAGCCTGCAGAGCAAGTCGGGTCCGTAGAAGCGGAAGGTGATGTCCCAGATGAGCTGAGGTAGGACCTGAAACACAGCGACCACCAGGTCCGCGATGCTCAGGTGCTTCATGAAGTAGTACATGCGGGACTGGCCGTGCTTGGTGGTGTGGATGGCCCACAGGACGCACAGGTTACCAGTCAGAGCGAGCAGGAGCACCAGGACCAGCACCGTCACCTCCACTTTGGCCACTTCCTCGTTCCGTTTCAGAGGGTTCACCGTGGCGTTCCCCGCGTGGCTTTCATTCGCGCGGCTCGAGTTGCACCACGAGCCGTTCTCAGACCAGCCGTCCTGCTCGCGTAAAAGCTCCTCCATCGCGCGTAAAAGCGCCGCAGTGGCGCAGCGGGCAGGTCACATCTGGAGAGCAGTCAGCTGATACACTTTAGAGTCTACCTTACTCCAGTAAAGTAGCGTGCAGAAGTCAAGTCTACAGGGAGACAAAATAAAAAGACGCATAAATTAACCAAAATGTTTAAATAACAACAACAACAACAATAATAATAATAATAATAATAATAATAAACGAAGAGATTCTGATTCTGAAGCTTACCTTGAAAACAATTCTGGCATCTAGTGAGAGCGCAGTTCTGTCCTCCAGCTCTGCGTCCAGCTGGATGTCTGCTCTGCTTTAAGCTCCGTGTCTCCCTGGTCTCTCTGCAAACCCCCCCCCCCCCCCCCCCCCAACATCTGAACTTCCCCGGAAGGAAACTGGCTGCGCTGAGCATGACCAGACTTCACATTACAGAACCTCTCTTTATCTCTGCGCTGTTTAAACGTTTCCTTTATGTTTGGTTCTTTATGTCAAATCGTCTGTTGTTTTAACTAAATCTTCAGCAGGAAAAAAAAAAAAAACGTTTACACTGAATTCTCCTTTGATTTAAAACGCTTTAAAAAAAACCTCTCCATGTGAAAAAGACGGGTCCACTTTGTGGAACTGCTCTTTGAATGTATTTTTAATACAGTTAAACCTGAAGCTAATGTTGTTTTAAAACTTATAATCGTTCCTTTCTTTACATTTAAAGTTAAATTCCAGGTCTCTCTTGTAAATGAGTCCTTGTGGCTCTGTGGGACTAACCTGTTTAATAAAACGTGAATGATTAGATTTGTTTAAGCACTGACTCATCTGATGAGTTTATGTAAAAAAAATGAAATAAAAAAGCTGAAGTTGTAATTTATTTACAAAGTATATGTTTTACAATTCATTTCTGATAAGATGTTGTTGTTTTTTTACATTTTCTAATATATTTTCACAAGATGAGCAAGATCAAACAGCTGAAGTTGAACAAATTAAAGTAGCAAACTAGATAGGCTTAAATCCCCTAAGAGTTAAATTAAATGTAAATAAGTTGGTTATACTTTACCCAATGTTTACACTTGTTATTTATCAAACCAATACCTAATTTTAATTTTTTTTTAAATATTTTTCTGAGTTAAATCCCATTTGTTTCTTCTTCTTCTTTTGGCTGCTCCTTTCCTCAGGGGTTGACACAGTGAACTAACTTGCACAAAGACTTTCTACCTTTCTTGACTCAACCACAGACTCCTGAGCTACCACAGCCCTCTGTGTGGAGCAGAGAGCTGCCATGGGGCGCCCGGAGGAGCATATGGTGGAGGTTAAGGGCCTTGCTCAGGGGCCAGAGTGGGGCAAATGAGGATGGAGGCATGCATGGGTGTCTCACCTTTCCCACCCACATTTTGATGTTGTCGGTCCGGGGGGTGGGGGGGTGGGTTGTGTCGGACCAGTGACCTTTCAATCACAAATTTGACTTCTCTAACCTCTGCACCACCATTCCCCCTACATTTATCCTTATTAAATAAAGTAAGTTTCTTTTGGGGTTACCACAGTGAGCAAGTTCACATGAACCATTTGGCAATTTGATTTACGCCGGATGCCCTTCCTGATGCAACCTGGGCTCAAACCCGCAACCTCAGGATTACAAGACCGCGGCACCGACCACCAACTTACTGTAGCCCTCACATTTATTCTTACTAATTATTTATATTATCATACTTCCAAATTCTTGTTCTGACTTTTTTTCATCACTTTAAAATAGTTTTTGTTCACGTCTGGCTTAACTTAGCTATATTAGTTAAATTCAACCTAAAGCTAAATAATTTTAAACAGTGAAATTAGTACAATATAACTAGTTTGTTTGAATATTCAACACAACCATATCCACAAATGAACCAGGACATGTATGAGGACAGCAGGACAGTGGTGAGATGTGCTGTAGGAGTGACAGATAGTTTCAAGGTGGAGGTGGGAGTGCATCAAGGATCAGCTCTGAGCCCCTTCTTGTTTGCTTTGGTGATGGACCGACTAACAGATGAGGTCAGGCAGGAATCCCCATGGACTATGATGTTTGCAGATGACATTGTGATCTGTGGTGAGAACAGGGAACAGGTGGAAGAGAACTTGGAGAGGTGGAGGTATGCACTTGAAAGAAGAGGAATGAAAGTCAGCCATAATAAGACAGAGTACATGTGTGTGAATGAGAGGGAGGCCGGTGGAACAGTGAGGCTACAAGGAGCAGAGGTCACAAAGGTGCAGGACTTCAAGTACTTGGGGTCCACTGTCCAGGAAAATGGGGAATGTGGTAAAGAAGTGAAAAGAGAGTCCAGGAAGGATGGAGTGGATGGAGAAAAGTGTCTGTAGTGATTTACGCCAATAGAGTGTCAGCAAAGGTCAAAGGAAAAGTTTAGAAGATAGTGGTGAGATCATATGTTGTATGGTCTGGAGACAATGGCATTGACAAAAAGACAGGAGAAAGAACTGAAAGTGGCAGAAATGAAGATGCTGAGGTTCTCCTTAGGAGTGCCAAGGCTGGATAAGATTAGGAATGAGATCATCAGAGGTACAGCACAGGTTGAACAACTGGGAGATAAAGTTAGAGAGACCAGACTGAGATGGTTTGGACATGTCCAGAGGAGGGACAGTGGTAGAAGGATGTTAGAAATGCAGCTGCCAGGACAAAGACAAAGAGGAGATGCAGTTAGAGAGGACATGGAGGTAGTTGGAGTGAGGACAGAGAGAGATGGAGGAGGATGACTCGCTGTGGTGACACTGAAGAGGTAACAATCAAAAAACTTTTAGCAACTAGATTACTTGATTAAATTTGAATATTCTTTATTATATTAATGAGTTTTTACAACCAAGAATATTTACTGCGTGCTCAGGCACAGACAACCTGCTGATACTGTATCTTTCATCCTCAGCTCTGGTTGCAGTGAAGGCACATGCTTCATTAGACCACATTCTTTATGAATATTATTTATGGATTTACAATACTTAGTAATGTTCACAGTCTCTGTGTAATTTGTAAATGTGATAATTTTAAAGTTTTTTAAGATGAGCAGAAATATTTTTATTTGAACGTGTCTGCTCAAATTTCTGAAACTGAAACACTCCTGTTACAAAACCCTAAGAGCTTTCATGCTCATGTTGTCTAACACAGATTTGTTGTAAACTTCCAGTGAAGTTAGATCGTTTTTGACTTTTTGAGCCAGAAATAGGGCCACTTCTGATTTTGCTTGATTTGAACAGCACAAACATCAAACGACTGTTTCCTTCAGCTTGTTGGACACGCTCAGCTGAACACTTGCAGGTGCTCTTTTGTTCAGCTTTCCAAACCGGACCTCAGTGATCAGTGTGTGTGTCAGATATAATCTGATAGCACAAAATGGCAGGAAAACAAATAGGTCTTTTTTTCCAATAACAGGAGTCTGTGTATGTTGCCCAACATAAATGTTAGTGTTTTTCACCCACCACTGGCTGACCCACTTAGACGTGACACTAACAAACTGCTTTACCACAAAATCTGAGCTGTAGGAAAAGAAAAGTTAAACAGAGTGTAAAGATTCACCTCTAAAGTTATACTTTTAATTGTAACTGCTAACACATTTTATCTGCTACAGCTTTTAAAGACTTCAAAGAGCTTGTTGTTATGAAAGCTGAACACATGGGATTTATGGTAATACATCTTTAATAATTGCTCTGGTGAAGGTATGATAGATTTCTGCATTTTTGGACTACTCATACAAAACAGTATGTTTATGTCAGGCTGCAGGAGTGTTGAACCCAGAATGCAAACTATGAGAGACTCAAAAAATTGAACAGATTTAACAAAGATCAAAAAACTGACAAGGCACCAAAAACCTTACAAAGAGAGTTACCAGGAACATGGGGGGGGGGGGGGGGGGGAACACACACAATGAAAAGGCAAGCCTAACCAGTGGCATAGAAACCAATAATGAACTGCTGACATTAAGGTAAAAAGTGCAACAATTACAGCTATACCCAACTACAAGGACCAAAGAAAACCAAGACTCCAAATAGGTTTACTGTGTTTATTTCCAAAGGGATAAATCATCATTTGTGCCAGGGAGGGATCTGGAACCCTGAAGAGCAAGGAGATGGTTAATGATCTATCAGCAGGGTGATGATGTTACTATTTTAATGGTATGGCTAGGAGTCGGTTGTAGAGAGAGGTGACTCAGTGGTTCCAGGGCAAAGAAGGTGAACATCCAAATAATGGTTCCAGGCAGGAGGCAGGGTAGGAAGGCGTGGAGGTAGCTGAGGAGGCACAGGACGCTCTAGGTCCACAGAGGAGAATCCAGGGGACTGGAGGGCATTGGGATAGCCTATATACTGAAAACACAAAGAAATATAAAGTTGGTTAATCTTTAGTTTAACTCACAAGTAAAAGTCTAGAACACAACTAGCAAGGCAGGTAATGCTCCAGCGCTGACTGGATGTCCTCTGCAGCCTTTTATACTCCTCTTGCTCATTAAGCTGATGATCCTCAGGTGCTGACTGGTGCTCAGATGTGTGGCTGCAGAGCAGAACTCCCACAGGGCAGAGGTAATTGGGCAAGTGGAGATACCTGAATAAATGGTGACTAAGAACAGGTGAGTGAGGCAAGATGGCTGGATGAACATAAAGGAACTGACATCTAACTGAGGGCAGATGAGTAATGGTGCACATGAACACAGGGAAAGATGAACACAAGTGGGTGGATCACAAGAGAAACAAAATAAAACACAACAGCCAAAAATGGAAACCAAACCTGATCCTTAGCAGAAAGACAATCAAAATAATTGAACTATATTAATCCTAACGGCAAGTTTATGCTCAATAATCCAGGTACAAAATCCAACAATGTTCAGTCAGGTCACCAGGACGGTTTATTTTCTTTTTTCTTTTTTTCTATTTTTGACGAAAATACATTGTCCAGATGACCTGACAACATTGTTGGACAAATCACAACAGTTCGTTCATAATTATTATCATTTTATTTACATTCATTGTAAATGCT